AACCTGTTTTACAAACTGACATGGTGCTCGTCGACTAACAAGATATATGTTAATATGCTGGACGTTAAATGTCGAAAAGATTTGCAATCTTAAATATATATGATCGTTTCGCAATAAATTATCACAAAAAGTATTTGATTAGAAACTCAATCTTTATATATTCCTGACATTTCCCTACATTAATTAGCAAAGGCAAATTTTTCCACTGTTTAGTCATTATTTGTTTTAACATCCAAATAGTTTTCCTCACAAAAACCGGTTGCACGAAGATTGTATAATTCTCTGTCGTCTACAGATGCGATAAGCTGTGACGAAAAGATGCGTTCTACTACTCTGTATTTCATCTTTGTATTTTTAGAACTTAAATTCCTTCTCTCGTAACTTTCACATTATCGCAATCCGAAAAATTTCACATCCAGAGGTATTCGTTCAGATATGTATTCGACATAAGGACACTCGCTCTTTGTCGTTTATCGAGAGCGGGAATATCATTAAAAGGATCGGCATAATTGTTCCTGTAACGAAACTTGCTCCCTTTTGCAAACGACATTTGACTCGGTTCAATTATTCGCGCCTTCACTGGAAGAAATTAAATTTTACAAGCACGTTGTGAAATCTATCAAAGATCTTCGTTACACCAGTATGTTAAAGCGCAAAGACAGCGAAGCGTAATCTCTCGATTCTTTTGACACAAACGGAAGTAAAAGCTTTATTATTCGTAACTAGGAAAACGCGAGAAAGCGTGAATATATAAAAGGAAAAAATGACTGTGATAATTTACATGTATTTGCAATTGAACATCGACGGTTAAATTAGATCGTACAAATTTTTGTCGCGATTAACCTCTTGATAAAAAGCATTAAAAAATTAAAATGCTTTATAACATAAATATAATTAAAATTGTTATTTCCAGAATAAGAAATAGTCGCTTTCGATACAAAGAGAAAATTTTCGATAATAATATATTATATTTATATATTATATTTACATTATATTTATATAAATTTATCATATTAATCATATTAATTACACATTAATTGCATAAATAAAATATTTACTATTAAAAATATTGTTTTTATTAGATAATTTTTATTGCGATTAATCTTTTGATAAAAAGCATTAAAAAACTGAAATACTTTATAACATAAATATAATTAAAATTGTTATTTCCAGAAATAATCGCTTTCGATACAAAAGAAAAATTTTCGATAATAATATATTATATTTATTATTATAAATTTGTCGTATTAATTGCATAATTAAAATATTTACTATTAAGAATATTGTTTTTATTGTATAATTTTTATTGCAGCGCGAATAATTATATAATTATTTGATCGTTAATTAATGCCGTAACCAATATTCTATCAAGTAGCTACAAATCACTTGAATATCGAAAATCTTGATGGAGATCTGGTTTTGACGAGAAAACCTGTGTGGCTATAGCATTTCGCATAGGAAATATTTTATATCGCGCTGCGTTGATCCCGACGTGGACACACAATTACGTGATTTGCATGATATTTTAAAAAACGTGGATAACGATTGCGTTTTTGCATTTTAAATGTGACATAACCGAAACGTTGCATCACACAAAAACAATGTGCATATTTCAATACACGCGGATGATTCGACATTTGAATTCATCTTCAATATAACAAGATTTCTGATCAAGGAAATTTCTTTTCTCGACATAAACGCATAAAATCTCAGTAATAATTTTGCAAGATATTAAAAATTAAAAAAATAAAAAGCGTTTCTTGATTTTCATCGTCTTTTTTCTCTTAATTTAAAGTTTCTCTTAAAGTTTTCTCTTTAATTTAAGGTTCTTTATTATTAAAGTAATAAGAATATTGTGAAATTATGGAAGAAAAAGAAATTTTTTGGTTGAGAAAAAATCGCATCAAATAAGCTTGATTATGCGCAGAAATTTCGAAACACTCCGTATATATCGGTCATATATTTCCGTCCTTGCGGTAATATATCGAGCAATATGAACGAGTGCTTAGCGTGCAATCGGGCTGTATAAATGAGTATTTAGCGTGCGATGTTTCTGTCGCGCATACACCGTTGCCTGACCGCGATATACGACTTTGGGAATGACGGTACGATATTTATCAAGCGCCTTATCAAGCAATGAACCGGGCATACTTCCCGTATCCTCCGATAGACAACGGGATATTCCAGTTGTGCGAAACGAAACGCGCTAACAATCTCACTCTCTCTCTCTCTGTCTCTGTCTCTCATGTTGTAATCGGAGTCGCATTCGTTAGGCACCAATCGACACGCCGTTGTCGACACGCGAGGCAAATGTATCATATATATATAGTGTTTCCAAACACTCTACCAATCAAAGTTTCGCCCACGTGATCTGGTTCAATTTAAAATCGATCTTATCGCGCGATAAATATCTAAAGATTATAATGATCTTCTTTTTCGCATATTTTAAACTTTGATCAATCTATTTAATTTCAATCATTTTTTATACTCGGAAAATCTAGCAGTTTTCGGTATAATTTATGAAATTTTAATAGTAGCATCATGGCATTTCAAAATATCATTAATATTAATTTTCATTAAAAAGCTAGTAAAAGGATGTAAAAAGGATAATTTATCTAAATATATATGAAATAACTGGCGTTAATCCATTTTAACTAGTCATTCCTAGTAAATGACGGTAGCGTAAAATGTGTGAATGAAAATAAATTAACAATTGTCTCGTGAATTAATCTCAATTCATGATTGTTTGGCATGTTATATTATCGTCACCTTAAACGATCTGCGAGGAACATTCTACATCGCATAGCCATTTCTAGTATAAACCGCGTTAGAGAACCCTCCGGCAATAGCTCCATCCAATCTGTCTCGTTAGATCGCATTCCCTGCCTGCCTCCTTCCTCTAACCCGTTCGACATGATCGACACCCTTTCCCCGTCCCTTGACCTCGCAGCACGACGGTGCAGCATCGACCGTAACGGAGCATCTAATCTCATCATCGACGACGGTACGGGTAAACGTCAATATCTGATTCGACGTAAGGGACGAACATGCGTTGTCAGAAGCTAGTCCTAGTAATCTTGCAAAGTGCAAGAATACTCGAGAAATCTCAAATTGCACTTGAGAAGCTCGTCGCTCTATAGACAATTTTGTCTTTCAAGAAGTTTGAAAATTTCGACAATACACTCTCTCTTTTTGACCGATAAATTCTTGCATTTCTTAAGAATCTTAAACATTTAAAAGTACACTGAGAAAAATCATTTGATTGTACCAACAAGACGTATATGAGTGAAGGCATTTTGGTTAAATCAAACAAGAATTTCTAGTTATCACGATAAAATTCGATTTTTTATAACTAGAATGTTTCATAGATTTTACTATAAGGATTTGGTTAGTATTTTCTGGATATTATGCAGCAAAGAAAGCTGTTATACTTTTTACCTCGTTTAACTTTATTGTTAACTTTAATTAAGTTAAACGATTTTCACTTTTATTTAATCTGTTTATTAAAATTCTGTCTTCACTTTTTTGATTTCATTTTTTTATATCAGTTTCTAATTTTATAAATTTCTCAAGAAATTAAATATAGCATACACACAGAATTATATCATTTCATATAGATTCCATAATATAGTATTGAGATAATTAAAAGTTGATAAAAAATGCCTTTACTGATTATTGTGCACTGAGAAAAATCGTTTGAGTGTACCAACAAGACGTATATGATTAAAGACCTTATGGTTAAATCAAACAAGAATTTCTAGTTATCATGATCAGACTCGATTTTTTATAACTAAAACGTTTAATAGATTTTATTATAAGAATTTGGTTAATGTTTTTTTATTTAATCTATAAAATTTCTTGTTGCATTAACTTGCATTAGCATTGTTGCATTAGCTTCTTTGCTGGAATTCAAAATATTCAACAGATTTTTGAGATTAGATGAACAAAATTTTAGACGACTTGGTGCTGGCGAGTTTAGTATTATTAACCAGAAAATTTGATAAATTCAAGAGGAAGAAATTAATCAGAATCATCTGATAATTCCTACAAGAATTTTGGTTCGTCCATTTTCCAACAGACATACTAGAATCTACCAGAACTTAAATCTACCAGAATTCTAATTAATACCAGATTTTTTTCTCAGTGCACTGTTTAGCAGTTTAATTTCTAACAAACTGAATTTAAAATAATTTATTCAATAATCTGGATTGAATTTATGCAATAATCTTGTTGGAATTCAGAATATTAAACAGACTTTTGAAATCAGATGGAAAAAATTTTAAACGATTTAGTGCTGGTGAATTTAGTATTATTAACAAGAAATTTGGTAAATTTAACAGGAAGAAATTAATCAGATTCATCTGGTAATTCCTACAAGAATTTTGGTTCGTCCATTTTTCAACAAACATACTGGTTAAATCTACCAGAATTCTAATTAATCCAACCAGATTTTTTTCTCAGTGTACTTGATAAATGTTATATAACTTTTGTCGACTAATTTTTTTCTAAACCATGATGCATAAATTATTTTCCATTTTGAAGAAAAGGAAAGGACCTTGAATTTTATATGAAAATTTGATGACAAAATTATCATTAGATTTGTAACAATCTTCTCCCTCTAATATATATATATATATATATATATATATATATATATATATATATATATTAGATATTATCTATATATTATATATATATATATATATATATATATATATATATATATATATATATATAGAAAAACTTTCTTTAGAGCTCGACGTTCTCGATTTCGCTCTCTTGGTACGAAAAAAGTGGCCCACTTACCTGTCCATGGTTGTCGAATCCGTGCTCCTGAGCGATCTCATCCGCAGTCTCCGGTCCGCTGGGCACGTAAACGGCGAACTGATTCGAATAGATTGGCACTGGTCGCTGCCGTGGTCTCGGTTCGGATCTCGCGCCGGCCAGCAGCGCGCACACAATCAACAACGTCACCCTGAAGATCATGTCGTCGACGACGAGTGACGACGACGGGTCCTATAATCGTCGCGGACGATATTATCCGACACTGATGGAGCGCGTGACGTCGCGACTGACGTTTCGGGACGTTAGAAAGCACGTGTCGCGCGTACAACGAATCTCGCGATTTAATTTACGATCGAGCGGGCGATCTCACGCGATCGATCGATCACGTTTCTCGACGCAACTCGCGAGTCTCGCATCGGATGCGCGCACTTTATTTCCGCGAGGATTCGCCGGCCTCGGGGAAAGACGAACGCGACGAGGGCTGACGGATGAAGTCGTGTCACGGGATGAAGACGGTGCTGCAAGTTTCGCTCGTCGTCGTCCTCGTTGTCAGCGAGACGGCGGTGCCGGGGCTAGTCTTATCCTCTTATCCTGCAACACAAAGACGAGGAAAACCACAGGTTATAGCCGGTGTGTATTCGCGTCACGCGCGCCAAGTCGGAAGGACGCGGTGGGAATTCTTGCGGGCGCCGAGCGTTGTGCGATATTAATTGTCACCGAGAAGCGGGGGAGGAGGGGACGAGGTGGGGGGGGGGATAGGTTCGTTTTTCCTGCTTCTTGACGTGCGCTCCACGGATTTGCATCACAATGTTTCGCCATGGGCGTGCACGCGAATGTTTGCAAACTCCCTCCCTCTTCCTCTTCTTCGCGCGCGTTGTTAAAAGTATTCTCATTCTCTCTCGTTCCTCGAGCGAGAGAAAGGAAGAGGTAGGAAACCAAAAACCCGCGTGTTATTTAATAACCGAATCCTTTGTTTTTGCGAAACGACGGCGTACGGTGACGCAATTGTTTTGCAAATAGCCGAGTGCGGCATACTTATTCATTTAGCGCGACGCGTACAAATAAACGTATTATATTGTAACAAAATGTATCGACGTGATAAAATGATTATGACGGTGCGGATGCGACCGTCGCATAACACAACGCAATTAAACTTGCATACGCGCGTTCCCGGTGATCCTCGGTTAACCGCCTAATAAATGTCATTACAATGACGGATTCTATCGTTCATTTTCCCTATTTGTGGTAAATTAATAAAGTTTCATACATCCATTTTGGATATTTCATTCGAGGTGACGTAACGACAAGCAGAGGGGTGATTATGTTCTTTCCCGTTTCAGGGAGAAGCTCGCGGAATTTATAAAGAAAGTTTGTGCTATAATTTTGGACGAAATTAGACTGATAAAAAAATCGATGATAAAATTGATTATAATTGCATGGTAAAAAAATTATAGTTCGGATACTCATTTTTGTAGTTAAATTTTACTATAATATTGGTAATATAAACTATATATGGTACCGAGAAACAATCAAACTTTTTACTATAATTTATAATAATTTCAAATATCATATAAGTAAAAAATGAAAGAAAGGAATGATACATATAATTTTACTATTCATATAGTCGTTGTAACATTAATAATGATAAATATTACTATATTATTATCTTTCGTTTAGATATTAATATAGTAGTAATAAATGAAAAAAAATATAATAACAGCTATATCGAAATAGTACGTGGAACCTGATGAATAGCACATTTAACAACATCAAACTTATTATTTGGAATGATTGTATGTGGCACATGTTTCTTCGCTTGCCGTTACGCGCACTACTCTTAACTTTTCTCGTATTCAATATTTATCATAAAAAGTATATAAAGGACTAGTATTAAACGCGTAAGATATAAAGTATATTTTTTTCCTCTTGGCAGTAGTGCAAGAAAGAGGATGCTACTCACACGCCAGGTTCTCGGATTGTATGCATGTGAGGATCCTCTTTCTGACATGTCACTGTTTATCAGTTTAATTTCAGACAAACTGAATTTAAAATAATTTATTTAATAATCTGGATTTCTTGTTAGGATTCAGAATATTAAACAGATTATTTGAAATTATAGACGCGAAAAAACTTTTAAACGACTTGGTGCTACGCATATTAAAAATCTGTAATATATCTAACATGTATTACAGATTTTCAATACTGATAGTGAATTTCGGAACACTACGTATAGCATAACCATATGATTACATGAAATGGATATTATGACTTTACGAACTGTATTTTCATGTTATATCAACTATATTTTTTACAGTAAAATGCACTATTATATATGCTTGGCGCCTTAAGATACTATGAATAATAATGAAATTATGATTTATTAGTATATTATTAGTATATTATTATTAGTATCTTATTCTATGATTTATTAGTATATTATTAACATATTAATATATTATTAGTATCTTATTCTATGATTTATTAGTATATTATTAGTATATTATTATTAGTATCTTAAGGCGCCAAGCATATATAATAGTGTGCATTTTACTGTAAAATTTAACTATAATTTCAATTATAATTTTTTATCAGTGTATAAACTAAGAATAATTTCGAATTCGTAACGGCTGTTATCGAATTGAAATCGTCAAGAGTAAGGGGAAAAATTAAAACGGAACTTGGTGAAACGCGTGGCAAAATGTTCCGATCAAAATTCGATTGTAAGCTATATAGTTTATAGTAGCTGAAGTTCGATAAGTAACTGGTAGACTAGTAAGGCAAAAAGAGAAGTTTGTTTCCAAGGCACTGTCGATAGTTAAGACGAAATGAGCGAAAAGCCGAACATGAGTCGAGTTTAAAGTTAATCGGACTCTCTCACGAAACCGTTACCGCTTGTAATAGTTAATCGAGAAATAAGCTGAAACACTTAGCGGATATGATTTATGTGCGTTATAATTTAAGAAATAAAAAATGCTTTAAAAATATTTAAACCATACAATTTGATCCAAATTGACACAATTATCGAGTAACAAATTTCACTGTTGCAAATAAATGAGATGCAACCAATTTTGTGAGGTAAAAAATCTTGCATTATGTAAATTAAATATTAATCATGTATTATATCTTCAGTCAAATATAAACATTGTTATCGTGAAAATCGATATAATACACAATTATGCGATAAATATTAATTTATTAATCATTTAAAAATCCTCGTTCGCAATTGCCCTAGTGTCTAATTCTAATTAGTTAACGTCATCTACTTTTATTAATTATTCTCTATTCACTAATCATTATTTACTCGAAACAATTACAATCATAAGAAAAGATTGCAGTTTGCAGAAAAAATTACAATGATTTGCATTTATTTGCTCGTAATAGCATCAATCAAATGTGTGATTTAAATTTAACAGCGGATCAAATGCTAATTAATCGAGTAGTGATTGTAAATCCGGAAATTAGGTAAAAACTTCGAATTTCGTTTACTGCATTTCATCTACTGCAAGTTTCGTCGAATGCAAATTCGCGAAAACGAGGATCAATGATTAATGCCGGAAAAATGCAAACTCTCTTAGCGGCGAGCTAAAACATCTCGGAGATGTAGACCAAATTATTTAGGGAAAATTCATCTCTCAGATCGGTTCTTTACTTGTTTAGAGTAATAATAACGCGTTACACCGTCGCATCTTGTGCGTCGATCTTATCATTTACTGTCTATTCTCAGCGAGTAGTGAATATTCTCAAAGTGAGTATAGCGAGATACAGCGAATGAACACGAACATTACATGTATACGTCCGTTCACCTTAACTCATTAAGACCCAAACGTAAAATGAGACGCCTTTGATGCGAGCCATGTCAGATAGCTCGCTTTGATAATAAATGAAATGCTACTGGAACTGGTAAATTCGCTGCGCCAAAGAAAATCGGGTATCAAATTAACTGTCATCCCGAACATCGGAGAAATTACGAAGCTAGTTTATTTAATATACGAATTTTTTGACCTTATGCTTGACGAATAATTCACCCGGAGCAGTACCGTGCGAACATATCAAGATGAAAATTTCATACGTCAACGTAATAAAATTCATCGCGCAAAAATTCGTTTGCCGTCCGCTTCAATTTATGGACCATCCAGATGAGTGAATATCAAATAGATGCATTATTCGACGTTGATTTTAAATAAACAATGAATGAAGGCGTTCGTCGAATACCAATTTTCATTATCAACGCAAAAAAATAAGTCAAACACAAAAGGCTGAATTGATTGCAAAATCTCTTTTGAATTTTATTTATTATTGCAGAATTTTCTCATCATTTTTCTCTTATAAACCTTAACAAAATGCGCGAAAAATTTTTATATAAATTTAAAAGTATAACAAGTATATAAGGAAATTTTAAATTTTATGAAATATAAAGAAAAATATTATATTTGTACAGCTATGTAAACTTTTTAACAAATTTTTTGTTTCGTATTTTATTTTATTATTTTTTATAATTTTATTATTCAATATATTGTACTTTTGTTTTATTTTATTATTTTTATTTTAATTATTTTATTTTTACTTGTTCAATTATATATATATATATATATATATATATATATATATATATAAAACACACATATGAAATATTAATATTTAAAAAAATTTGTGGAATTGGCATATTTTCAGTAGAGGAATTTCCATTAAGTTTACATAACAGCGCTGACTTGCTATTTATGGCGCTCACGATGTATGCCATTTTTATATGATTCGTTGTTCGATAATGCGAACTCGACAAAACTTTCGCAAACTCTGACAGGTCGAATTTTAAGATTCAAATGCTTTCAAGATGAATCTATTCATTTAAAAACGACAATGTCGAGTAGCTGATCGTAACACGTGATGTTTGAACGACAAGTAGCGACCAACTTTGATGACGTCAAGATTCTCTGTACTATTTTTAGCACACGAAAAACTGCTTCAAGAAATCTGCTTCTTTGAATCGTTCATATCTTCTATATATTAAATCGTATCAAGTAGGTGTTAAAACGAAATAAATTAGCAGCTGCGTATTTTTGATCGCTTTCTATCACTCATGTATCACAAGTGAAGAAAAGAAGTGAAACTTGCTCGAAGAATTTCGACATAATCGACAACTTGATTATTGAAATTGTACGGATAATTCATTAAAAACTCCAGTTTATCTCCCGGATTTTTAAACTAATAAAAAGTTTAATTGTTAGATTTAAAAAAAAAAACTTTACGGATAAAATTAAATCTAGTTTCTTAGTTTCGTAGTTGAAAGAAATAAAGAACTAAGTACATCGAGTGTTCTACAAACGTCAGCCGGTACTTGAAGAGGGAAAAAAAATTCTGCGCGGAAAAAATTCGCGATTAAATATGTCGCAGATATATTTATATGTATATATCCTTATTAAACACGAAGAATTGGGTCGAGTTGAGCGCGATTCACAAAAGGAAAACGACAATATCTTCTGTCGTGTACTACTTAAATTGCGAAAACCACTTGCGCGACACTATCATCCGCAATTACGAAGACCGCGTACTTTGAGAAGGCCGACGAAGAATATAAACTCGTCCCAATGAAA